GCCCTCCTCACTCAAGAATTCCTGCACTCTCTTTCTGCCAGAAGATGTCTCTTATTGCTGACGTCCCTAGTCCCTTGACTCTCCTGCTCCAAGTCATTCTGAACATATTGCTGTGGTTCCACATTAGTCTCTCTTAGAAGTAATATTTGGTGTTTCCTGTGTGTGCAGGTGCACTGCCACATCCAACTGCTTCCATGGCAGCCTCCCTGGAGTATGGGATCAGACAACCATCAGGAAATGCTCTGAGCGAGCACTGCCTTCAAGTTTGCCCTCAGGCCTTGCTCGATATGGCATTCCCTGTCTTGCATGTTTGGATCACTCTCTCCCAAAGTGGGTGATGCAGACTTCTGGGAGCTGGGACAATCCAGGAGGGCTGCAAAGCAGATACCTATACCTTTGCTTGGCTTGTGGGCTAATATTCAAAAGGTTTTCATTGCCAGGGGGCAACTGAGTCATTATTATTATTATTATCTTCTGAAAATGGGCTGGAAGCCAAATAAGTTTGGGAACCTATGACTTAGATCAACAATGAATGCTCACAGAAGCAGCAGTCATGAAAAAAGATGCAGTTGCATTGAAATCTGCTGCAAATGTTCTCTGTAATTCTGCTGCAAAAGTTCTCTGTAATTCTGTAGTAGTATCCTGAACTAAAGGTGAAAGACATCGGACAGGATATCAAATTTTTATGGATTTCAAACGTTCTGAAATCAAGGGGAATGTCTGAAAACCCTGGGGGAACGGATCGCGATGATTGACATATAATCACAACCCCTCCTCCAGGGGGTCCAACAACAGAAACTGCCGGGGGAGGGAGACAGCGGTCGGTGTAAGATATGAAAATAATAATAATTTATAATTTATCAAGGGGTCACGAGTGTGGGGTGGGGAGGGAGGGTAAAAAGAGGAACTGATACCAAGGGCTCAATAGAAAGTAAATGTCTAGAATATAATGATGGCAGCATATGTACAAATAGGCTTGATACAATTGATGTATGGACTGTTATAAGAACTGTAAGAGCCCCCAATAAAATGATCTTTAAATTAAAAAAAGAAACTATATCATGTGTATCCCTGTATCCCTAATGCCTGATGAAAATTAAGAATCCAGTAAAATCTTGTGAAATGAGTGAGTACAAGAAAACAAAACTGAAAACAAAAGTGCCATAGCCCCTGAAGTCTCTTACAACCACAGAAAGAGCAGAAGTGGTTTGCCTTCAGCATTACGCCCTGTAGCTCACGATCCAGGGTCAAAGTAGCCACAGCGATTTGAAAGATTAGATCAGAACCTGAGGGGCCAGTGTGCTTATGTTCATGGAGGAGGAACTACTCAGCAAGAGGAAGTGAGGATGATGACTGATTCAAAGAATGCAATCCACGCCAATGAATTGTCCGTGGAGAAACGGGTGACTTGGTGTATGTTTTCTATGCATATATTTAATAACTGTAAATTAGTAAACACACACACACACACACACAGACTTCTTAAAGTGCTAAAATGCGAAATGTAACTTTGAGGGTGAAGGAGTGGCTGCCTGACCCAAGCCATGGTGTTTTTAGTGGCCTCTTACTCATGTGAAGTCTGAACAATGCAGAAAGGAGCCTTTAAGCAAAAGCCCTGATGCATTTGAATGATAGCATTGGGGAAGAATGCTGAATGTGGCATAGGCTTAGGAGAAGGAACACATGTGTCTCAGAAGGACAGCCCGAGTAGCCCTTAGAAGCAAGGATGGTGAGAGTTTTGTCTTACTTATTTCGGACATGTTGTCAGAACATCACACTTGGCACCATAGAGGTTCAAAGAAAGCCTCACCACGATGGCTTGACAGTGGCTTAGCAATAGACTCAAGAACGTTTGTGAGGATGAAGCAGGGCCTGGCAAGATGTTGTTCTGTTATCCTTGGGTTCACTGGAGTTAGAGCAGACTTGATGGCACTTCACAGCAACAAGGGCATCTACATCTTCTTCCATATCCAGAAGGATGATCCAGTCAGCTATGAAAAACTGTCCTTTGACCTGTGAGCAAGTTTAGCGACCTCCAACACTGTTCTCTTCATCTTGAATACTAGCTCCAATCAATCGTTTGTGTTAGAATATTGTGTTGGGAAGAATTCTGAGGTCATCTCTGGGGCTCATGGGGAGGAGTGATCTTATCAATTATTCACATGTCTTCTGGAGTTTTAGGAGAGAGGGCAGTGTGTGAGTCATATGTAAATCATTAGATATTTCTTCCTCCTGAAGAAGCTTCTGTCATAACTCTATTTCACTGTTGTTGTTAACTTCTGTTGAGCCGGTCTCCAACACAAGGTAACCCATGTCCAGTCATGGCCATGGGCCGCCCCCATGATGGGCGAGGGGCTGATGGTTGCATTTGATAGAGTTTTCATTGGCTGATTTTTCAGGAAATGCCTGATTGCCAGGCATTTCTTCCTGGAGTTCACCTTAGTCTGGCTGCTACGTTGAAACCTGTTTAACATCATAGCAATAGGCCAGTCTCATCCGAAAGATGCCTGAGGTGCACCAGCTGGGAATGGAACCCGGATCTCACACATGGTGGGTGAGAACTCCATCATGGAACCACTACTATCTTCAAAGTTGACATTTGTGGGGCTTATTTTATTTCCCTGCATTTTTACCTTGTTATATGCAAGATGCTGGTCTCCCCTGTCCCCCCTCCCCCCCTAGTAGGGACTTTGAGCTGTGTGTCTTTTTGCCCAGGCTGTGCAGCCTCTTAGCATTTAGTAACCCTAGAACTTTAGTTGAGCACATGGGTGTCTTCTTGCCTCTTATGTCCTTGAGAAATGTCTTCTTCCTCAGCTTTCAGTTTGGGCAAGACCAAATGTTGATACCACAGAGAGAAATGGTTTTCAAACCATCTTTACTGTGGAGGCCTTAGTCCAAATGAAATGTGCTGAAACCAGTTCGGTAAAACTCCCCAAGTTTTCTTTCCTGTTGTGGTTGAAGGAGCTCGAGGACGGGGCCAAGTCTTGAGATCTAAGGGGGCAGGTGGTGGTGGTGGTGTTTAGAGCAGAGGTTCTTAAGATGCCTGGGCAATGAAAACTGTGAAAGCAAATGTTGGCAGCACAAACCCAGCAGAGGCACCTCAGAAGAAATGCCTGGTAATCTACGTCCAGGAAATCAATCACTGAAAACTCTAGGAAGCATGGTTCTGTGCTGACATACATGGTGCTACCATGAGTCGTAATGGACCAGATGACACTTGTTTTGTCTCAAGGTGTTGTCTCTGCACCGGCAGCATTGAAGTCCCTGAAAGGGAATTACAAAATGTGAAGTCTGGTCTCTTGCTCCTAGCTACTGAATCAGAACTTCTGGAGGTGGGGCCCAGCGGTGTGTGTTTAATAAGCTCTCAGGGGATTTCCAAGCTCAAGTTTTAAGAGCCATTGCACCCGAGCTCCTTGGAGTTTAATTAAAGCATCCCTGTGTAAAAGAAGGCCGCGGGGGGTTATTCTCCAACTCACTGCACAAGCATTCTCAGAACAGGAAGTACCAGCCACTGCTCTGAAAGATACGGTCAGATCATGCCCAATGGCTACAAGACAAATAATGAAACTTTTAGTCAAGTTTCAAAAGTTGCCAAATGGAACTCAGGAGCAGATGAGGCTCCGCCAGTGGAAAGTGTGGGCCGGGCCTGGGCAGCTCCTTTTGTGGTGTGAATCCAGAAAGCTGTTCGGTGATCTGTTCAGAACCCAGACCTGGAGAGATGACCCCAGCGGTCCCCAGTCCCCACGAGACCTGCACGGGCAGCCTGTGTTGGTTCCTGCTCTTGTGTCGGGGAAGAGGGATGATGTCCACCAGGCTTGGGCAGAATGCACTTCTCTTTCTCATGGCCCTGCTGACTGCGGGCTGCGTCCGCCTTTTGCACGGTGCTGTTGAAGATCCCCGGCAAGCTCCGGCTGGCACAGTCTCAGAAGAACAGAAGTTGGAACTTGAAATCTCAGGATGGACGGCCATAAAATCACCGGGCGTTATAGCTCCACAGACGTCAAGCAGTGATCTGAGAGATTTCCTAGAGATTTTACCTCGGATGCTTCAAAAACATGTCCAAGGGAGGCTGTCCAGCTGGCAGATCAGAGGTCTCCAGAGAGACCTGAGGAATAATAGAAGACAGCGTGCAACCCAGCAGGAGGAGGAAGGTCCTAGTCCGAGGAAGCTCCTTAGCTTGAGGAAAGCACTCCTTCCCATCCGTCAGTCGGGCGACAGAGGCGCAGTGTGTCAAGCCTGGCATTCAGCAAGGCAAGTCAGAAAGCAGGGAAAACCAGCTTCTCCAACAGAACGCCGGGCAGCTGTGGTAAAGGCCTTCTCTCATGCATGGAAAGGCTATCGGGAGTTTGCTTGGGGCCACGACGAGCTCAGGCCTGCCTCCAGATCTTTCAATGAGGTATTTGGCGTGGGCCTGACTCTTATTGATGCTCTGGATACCATGTGGATTATGGGGCTGCAAGCAGAATTTGCAGAAGCCAAGAAATGGGTGTTAGAGCAGTTAAACTTTCAAAATAACGAGAACGTGAATCTCTTTGAATGCACTATCCGTGTTTTGGGCGGACTTCTGAGTGCTTACAATTTATCTGGAGACAGCTTATTTCTGGAAAAAGCTGAAGATCTTGGAGCTCGGTTGCTGCCAGCCTTCCAAACTCACAGCAAGCTTCCGTATTCCCATGTCAACCTTGCCTCTGGGGAAGGACGCTCGACTTACATGGAGAGTTCAGTGGCCCAAGTTGGGAGCATTCAACTGGAGTTCAGAGAACTCTCTCGTCTCACTGGAAAAGAAAAATTTCAGGAGGCAGTGGATGAAGTGATGCAGCATATCCATTCCCTGCCTGGCAAGAAGGATGGACTGGTCCCCACCAACATCGATCTCTTGAGTGGGTTTTTTACGTCACAGGGCAGCTTCACGGTGGGCGCTAATGTTGACAGCTACTATGAGTATCTGCTGAAGCAGTGGATCCAAGGAGGAAAGAAAGACAATCAGTTGCTCGAAGACTATGTCGAAGCCATCAAAGGAATACAAAAGCACTTGCTTTACACGGATAGGGCTGAGCAGCTGACTTTTGTAGGGGAACTTCACAATGATCAATTCCAAGCCAGGATGGAGCATTTTGCTTGCTTTTTGCCTGGGACTCTTGCTCTGGGTGTCCACCACGGGCTGTCCAATGACCATATGGAGCTAGCGCAAGCTTTGATGAAGACCTGCTACCAAATGTATCAACAGTTTAACTCTGGCCTGAGCCCAGAAGTTGTGTACTATGATGATAGCCTCCCAGGTACCCATAAGAATATGAGGGTTCTTACTCGAGACAATTTCAACGTGCTACGACCAGAGACTGTGGAGAGCTTGTTCTATCTGTACCGGTTCACTGGGGACAAGAAATACCAGGATTGGGGCTGGAAGATCCTCCAGGGCTTCAACAAGCATAGCCGAATCCCGTCAGGTGGCTATTCTTCTATCTTTAATGTTCAGAATCCAGTCATACTTGACCACATGGAAAGTTTCTTTCTAGCAGAAACTCTGAAGTACATGTATCTTCTTTTTTCTGACGACACGGACTTGTTCGACCTTGACCAATACGTATTTAACACAGAGGCTCATCCCCTGCCCATCTGGATTTCAGCTTAAAGGCTGAGAAAATCAATGTAAGTGGACGTGTGACAGCTCCCAGTCATGAGAGTTTTCTCGGCTGAGCATTGCATAGAGTAGAATTTTTAGCTCTTTCTTAAAGATCATAGATTGGCAAATCAATTACTTAAGGATAAATGAGGCATCCTTTGAACTTTGGTTATGGGGGCATGCAGCCAGAGATACTGTGAGCCCCAGATGTTCCCTGTGTGAGCTGACGATGGCAAGTCCAGAGGGACAGACTGAGTCCCGGACATCTTGGAATGCGCTTCGCAGGGCAGCTGCTGGTTGGATTTTAACCCATGTTCATGTATTTCTCTAGGCCGTGATTCATAGGCCCATGCGTTCTGAATCAGGATCTCTGTGAGAAAGAAAAAAAGGAATAAAGCCAGCGAAATTTTGATTCACAGGCAAAACAAAACAAGACAAAACCTAAAAACTATCAGCAAAGAAAATCCTGCCAAATAGCACGATTGATGTTTTCAATTAACTCCTCTTTGGGGAAGCTGCACTGCTGTGGGGAGAGACAGAGGGGCTGCAAGCCGGTGGCAGAGTTGTGGGACCCTGGTAGCGGAGGCTAATGGAGAAGGCAGAGACAGACTAAATATGCCCCGTGGAAGGACATGGCCCCTATTGAGCTGGGTCAGCTTGTGATTTAAAAAGATATTAAGGAAAAAATAATTGTTTGCAATTCTGGTGACACTTGCCAGTGTCATTCTCACTATTAATTGAGTTTCCATACTGTGCCCAATAAAGTTTGTGCAGAGCAAAGCGTGGCAAATCTGTAGACCCAGCAGGTTGCTTATTGGGACTGCGCAGTCTGGCCTCTGCGATGAGATGGAATGATGGGCTATCAACTTTGCATTTACCCTCCAACTGGGCCTTCTCAGCTGTTTGCAAGAGCCAAGCCAGATGACTGTGGGCAATAAGTAAAAGCACCAATCTGAGATTTTATGTAGATTTAAGAGGTTTCACACACACACACACACACACAAATATTTTTTGGTGGGGGGATGTTTAGATACATACTGTCCCAAACAGGAAAGAGGCATCACGGGGCAATGTATAAGAAATCAGATTCTGGAGCTGATCAGATCTGATGCGATAGCTCAAATTATTATTTAATTAATATTCTTCCAAAATCCCACTGTTGTGTACTTCCACACTGATGTTGGGTTTAGCTATGCGGGCTACTTTGGGAGGCTAGCAGATGAGGTGGAAACTCGTCACAGGAAGGGTATGTCCTGGTCCCTTTCAGCTGGGATCCAGAGTCAAATAAGTGGAACAGCCCCACAAGCTGCTTCTTAGCTGAGAACAACCTAGAGCAAATGAATCGCAGTTGACATCTGGGTTCTTGTGCGTAAAAAGAAATGCTGTTGTTGTAAACCACTGTGTTTGGGGTTGGTTTGTTGGGGTCAGATCCTTCTGCTGCTTCCTTCTAGTTGTATAATTCTGGAAACGTGCTCTTTAGTCTTCAATTGCTTTATCTGAAAAATGGGCACTATTATAACACGCATACACATAAGGATTAAAGTAACTAATACATAAAAATATGTTCCTTAACACCCTAATGGGAGTATATAAACGTTAACTATAGCTTAGCATTATAAAAGTAACAACAACAGCTACCATGTATTGAGCATTTACTACTTTGAGTCTGGAACTAATATAGATCTTTTGCTTGTGTCATTTTGGTTGATGTGCACTACACCTCCAAGAGGTAGGTATTAATATTTCCCTCTTTCAAAAGAATATAGTCTCAGAGAAGTTAAGTAAATTGCACAAAATTGCTCAGATATAAGGAATGTGTTGTCTTCCTTGCCCGCTTAACCCTTCTTCAGCTTATTTTATTTCCATTGTGCTGGCCTCAACCATTAAAAAAATTATAATTAATATCAGTATAGTATCATGATTAGAGAAGGGTATTCACATTATCCCGTATGATCATTTCAATAACAAAGTTGGACATGCAGTAGTGTGTCCCAGAAGAGATTATTCTTCTCTCTTCTTTGGGGGTTTAGAAGAATCACCTTGAATCAGAGAAATCAGATTCCAGGCATTCAGAAATGTTTCTGTGGCCACTTTAATATCAGTTAAGGAACATCATCTAAGAAGGGTGAAAGCCTTTAGAGTTTCCAAGGCCAGCTTTAGTAGAATGGTGGGACCTAATCATCTCACGTCCCTAGGAGTGGTCACCCTTAGGAGGGTAGACAAGCATCCCTAAATGAAGGAGACAGAAGCTGTGATCACATCGGTTTAGTTTTGAGGACATCAAAGGAAAAACAACATGTTTCCCTGGTCTGTAAAGAAGGTGGATGGTGATTCTGGGTTTGAGAGTCAGAGGATCAAGAACCAAGAATAATCCAGACGGTGCTCTGGAAAGTGACTGCCCATGGGACCGAGAAGTGTGGATCCATAGATCTATAGGGGGAAGAAGTCTAACCGTGGGGCATTATTGACTGAGAACACTTCTATCTGGACCAGTGAAACACCAGGCAGCAGTGGATCCATTGCTGTGATCCAGAGTCAGCTTCAGCAGAAACTTACATCCAACTTGTTGATTGATGATATTCTACTGTCTGAAAGGAAGACCCTCTTTTTCTTTCTTTTTCCATCTATAAGACCCCTGGCTTTCTGGAATAATTTATGAGAACAGGGGACTTCAAGAAGACAATTACTAATTGAAGTCAATGAAAGTGTTATGGCTCCCTTTGCCCTCCAGTGTGTGTAGCTGTTTGTACTTATTATGTACAGTTAGGGAACTGAAGCTGGAATTCATAGTTAAGAAGTGATTGTGCCAGAGGGCAAATTCTGGTCTTTTGGTTGTGTTTCTTGCAGCTCTTGCTTGCTTCTTTCAATCTGCCCAGATGGACCAGTTGTCACCCTGAATATTAGGGGGGCACCATTGAAAGCAACAGCCCATAAATTGTTTTGCAACAACGTGGATTCTTTGAATCACCTGATGGCTCTCAGCCAGGGGCCGGCCCCACAGGATTAGAAGTCAGTAGGCTGCAAGGTGATAAGATAAAGAGAGTAATTGTGAGATATGGCAGAAAGTCATCCCTCCTTGAAAATCAGGAGGAGTTAGGTTCTCTTTTATTCAGGTAAGAGGGAAATTGAGTCTCTCAACAACTGTTATACCATTCATCTGCACCCTTTAATGGTATTATAGAATGATAACTGATATGAGTACTGCCTCTCCAGAGGATATTTATATCTCAGTAGGGCTTAACATACTAAGCTAAAGAGATTAGTGAAAGCAAAATTTTAGGACATCAGGGGTGTTTTCTTTATCTACACTGGATATGTAGATGCATTTCCAGTACCCCAACTGGCACATATTTTTAGCTTGTGTATTGTTTTAGTGAAACATCTTATAAGGGCATAAAGTTCAATCACATGTAGTTATGCACTTCATGGATAGTTTTTACTAAAAAGAATTACATGGAGTTAAGGACATATAAATGTCCTTTTAAAAAAATTTGTATTTTTTTCATTCATTTTTACCCCTTAACACCCCCCCTCAGTGCTCATTGAATCCATCTCAACTCTTGTATTAACCCTAAATGCTGTAGAAGGGGAAATACTTTTAGAGTTATCTTTGGAGTTGTTAATTCAACTGGTATTTACTGAGCACCCACCCATCATGTTCCAGGTAATTTTCCAGGGGCAGTAATCTATGTATCTTAAGAAATGTTGTCTTGGGGCAGAGAACCATCATTAAGACCTTGAGGTGGACATGGTTAGGTGATGAACCAGCTTCTTTTCTCTATTCCTATTCCTCTGTCCTACCAGAAACTGTCCCCTGCCTGTGTGGTAACACCTCCCCACGAAAGCTAATACCACATCCGAGAGTGGCAGAATTATTCCAAGGATGATGTCCCTTCGCAGGCCAATGATTGGCTTAGAATGGTCATTTTTCTGTGTCTGTCCAGTGAGGCCTGAGAGGGCGTCTTTGGAAGGCTTCTAACAAGATTTTTCTCTTTTCTAAAAGACAACTACATGCAGGAGAGATCCTTCAAATTTTCTGAAAGAGATCCCATGTTTGCTGATGATTTCTAGATTTTCTAATGTTATCTTAACATCAATTTAAAGTTATAACCTACACCTACACAAAGGCAATAGAGCTGAGAGGTGATGAACAACAGCAAAAACAAACAAGCAAACAAGACCCCTGTAGATCCTTCATAACATTGGGTTGCTGAATTAACAAGTTCTGAAGCCCATTCTACTTATGAACAGAAGTAAGATTTCCTCATTAGCTTTTACAAAATATCTGCAGCCAGTTATTTGTATTCCAAAACTTTCTGGACCTGTTCTGATATTTTGTGTGATACTGTTGTGGCTCTTTTTGATTTTTTGGTTATGGAATTATGAATGCATCCATTCCTCACTATTGGGTTGCAAAGCCCAGGCTGATAAATAAAAATTGGCATTATGTGAACATTGAAGATGACCACATCAGATCACAAAATAGATAGTGACTATATCATTACCCAATTGCTAGATTGCATCATTGCCTAAATCAATATCAAATCAGTATGCAGCCACCAAATTTCATCATTATATAATTTTCCAAACCATTAAAAATCATGGTCCAACTGAATTGACTACGTTGACCTTCACCATTATAGCCAGCATTCGTCTTGTCTCACACCTTGGTATTTATTATTGCCAGATGTACATTGTTAATACACTACATGGTTGCGTAGCCACATGGGGTCTTCTTGTTTGTTTGAGGACTGTTATGGACTGAATTCCACAACTTGTCTGTCAGTTTGTCGTACTGTGGTAGCTTGTGTGTTGCTGTGCTGCTGGACAATATGTCATGGGTATTTCAAGTACCAGTAAGGTCTTCAAAAGAGAACAGGTTTCAGCAGAGCTTCCAGAGTAAGCATAGACTAGGGAAAAGGAATAGGTTGTGCCCTTCAGAGTAAACAGCCACTGGAAACCTTATGTAGACCAGTGGAACCTTGGCAGATCCTGAAAATCCCATGAAT